ACAAGAGTGTCTAAACCTCCTTCTTACTTGGCTGATTATCATTGCCATTCTACCACTACAGCTGTAACTAATGATCGCCACTCAGGTACTCCTCATCCTTTGTCATCTGTTCTCTCTTATTCAAAGTTATCTCCTTCTCATCTACATTTTACACTTGCTGTTTTTGCTTCCTTTGAACCAAAATTCTATCACCAAGCAGTAAAATTTCAATGCTGGAGAGAGGCAATGCAAACTGAAATCAATGCACTTGAGCAAAATAAAACCTGGGTTTTGGTTGATCTTCTTGCTAGCAAAGCTCCCATTGGCTGTAAGTGGGTGTATCGAGTTAAACACAAGGCATATGTAGTATTGAGTGCTATAAGGCGCATTTAGTCGTCAAAGGATACACACAAACTGAAGGTATCGATTACTTCGATACTTTCTCTCCTGTTGCTAAACTCACCACTGTCAGATTATTACTCGCATTAGCAGCCATACATCAGTGGCACCTTAAACAGCTTGACGTCAACAATGCCTTTCTTCATGGTGACCTCCATGAAGAAGTTTACATGGTATTACCACTTGGCTTCCATACTTCTGATTCTCATAAGGTTTGCAAGCTTCAAAAGTCCCTTTACGGGCTTAAACAGGCTAGCCGTCAATGGTTCTCAAAACTCACTGCTGCCTTGCTTGCTTTGGGATATGTTCAGTCCTCCTCTGATTATTCTCTTTTCATCAAGCACCATGATCGTTCCATCACTGCCTTGCTGATCTATGTTGACGATATATTTTGGCAGGCAATAATCTTGGTGAAATTGATCATGTAAAGCAGTATTTAGATAATGCTTTCAAGACCAAGGACTTGGGCGATTTAAAATTTTTCCTTGGCTTAGACGTTGCTCGTACATCTGCTGGTATCGCATTATGTCAACGAAAATATGCTATTGACATTTTATCTGATGCAGGGTTTTTGGATTCTAAACCTGCCAAATCTCCAATGGATTGCTCTTCTAAGCTTAGTCAATCGCATGGTGACATCTTGCCTGATGCTTCTTCTTATCGTTGACTGATTGGCCGTTCACTTTACCTTACTTCCACTCGTCTTGACATTTCTTTTGCTGTCCAACAGCTGAGCCAATACTTAGACAAGCCTACCTCTCAGCATCTTCAGGCAGCCCATCGCGTTCTTCGCTACGTCAAAGGCTATCCAGCTTATGGTCTTTTTTTTTCCTACTGGATCCTCTTCAGCTCTTCAGACCTTTAGCGATTCCGATTGGGCAGGATGTATTGACACAAGGCGATCGGTAACTAGTTTCTGTTCTTTCTTGGAGCATCCTTGATCAGCTGGAAAGCTAAAAAGCAGCCTACTGTATCACGTTCTTCTTCAGAAGCTGAGTATCGTGCTCTTGCTTCCATAGCTTATGACTTACAATGGCTGCGTTATCTTCTTCAAGATCTCCATATTGCTCACCCTCAACCTACCTTGCTTATTTGTGACAATAAATCAGCTCTCCAGATCGCTGCCAACCCAACATTTCATGAACGCACAAAACATATAGAAATAGATTGCCATCTGGTTCGTGAGAAAGTGCGCAATGGACTCCTTCATCTCATGCCTTGTTCCTCAACTAATCAGCTAGCTAACGTTTTTACAAAGCCACTTGCTGTTGCTCTTTTTCATGCGATGATTTCCAAGTTGGGCATGTTAAGCATACATTCTCCAGCTTGCGTGGGAGTCTTGGAGCATTCTGTTAATAGTTAGTTGATACTCTGTTATTAGTTAGTTAGTCAGTTAATAGTTAGTTGATATTTTGTTAGTCAAGTTGATGTTTGTTATTTAATTAGTTACAATCTGTTGTTAGTTAGTTAGTTGATGTTTGTAAAGCTGATGAACTGGACCAATATATAAACTGGAAGCTTCTCTGTTTTTCTTCATAAGTTCAATAAAAAAAATTTATCTAGATTCGTTTTTCTTCAAATCAAAATTTACATTTAGAAATATTGTAATATTTTTTATAGCATACAAAATGAAAGCTTACATCTAGAAATAATGTAATATGTTTTTCTTGCAATCTTTTTTGTGTAAGTAACAAATCAGAAAGCCTTTTCTAGAATGTCATAATTATGTATAAGTGGCAAATCAAAAGCCTACATTTAGAACTAAATTGTAATTTTGTATAAGTGATAAATCAAAAGCTTACATTTAGAAATAATGTAATGTTTTGTATAAGCAACAAACCAAAGGCTTACATTTAGAAATAATGCAGTATTTTTGTATAAGCAACAAATCTTTTTTTGTGGTAAACTTTTTATTATTATTATTATTATTATTATTATCACTAGGACATTTGGGCTAGCTTATGCGTATCTCGACTAATCCTTAAGATCTATTGAATACCCTATAAGCTTAATGTTCTAGGTAAACCACTAAATAAATTTGTGGTAGGTAGCTCCCAAGGTTCGAACCCATAAAGTCAACGAAGGGAGCAAACATTCTTGACCGTCATATCAACTCTTTGATGTTAAACTTTTTTGTATAAGCAACAAATAAAAAACTTACAAAAAACATTATATTTTGTACAAAAAATAAATCAAAGGCTTACATTTAGAAATAACATAATATTTTGTATAAGCAATAGATGAAAGCTTACATTGAGAAATAATGAAATATTTTTCATAAGTAACAAATAAAAAGCTTACAGTAGAAATAACATAATATTTCGTATAAACAAACAAACCATAATTTTGCATGTTGAGAAAAAACTCTATGCTAACATTGGGTTCGGCATTTGATGCCTAAAAATTGGTATATGTGATTGGTGAACTCCATGTGTCATGATAAGTATTATTCAAATCCCTCAAATTTTAATTAAATTCTAAACAAATATTTTTAATTTCAAAATTAGATTAAACATTTTATAAAAGTCGAAGTAATGGATCAATGTTCGAAGAGGTTTATGATAAATTAGGCTATTCCATTGAGGATATGAAAAATTATCACATAATATTTTCAAAAAAATAAAAAATAAAAAATTATTGGGTGAAATATAGGAAAATATATTTTTTCTTGTTCTTTTCTTAAAATAAAAATATTCAAAGATGTATACCAACTCTTTTAGGAGTTACTTTCAAAGCATAGATTGAGCAACAAACTGAATATCGAAAGAGTCCTTTTGCTAACTCGTTTCCCATCAAAAGTGTACATTTATATATATAATAGTAAAAAATTAAAAACTATTCATGTACACCAATCAATAAATATATTATTTAAACAGTTGATAAAATTTTCACCATATAAATATAATTATTTAACTAAGCAATAATTAACTATTAATTTATTAAAACATTTATTTATATATATATATATATATATATATATTTTAATTATTTTGATAATATATATTTTAACATTTAGTCAAAGATTTCAATATACAATATCTAAATCCATAGCCATAACAAATCTATAAGATTATCAAGAGATATCTTGTGGTGATAATGAACTATATCCAAACTTATTTCCACATCCTGGTTGTCTTCAAGTTATTAAGTTTTTATTTTTGCAATTTCACCCGATTTAAGCGTCAAATATGGAGCTTGTTTATGTGGGTTTATTAACTAACAACTAGTACTTTACTTTTACTACTTTAAAGATGATATCATTTATCTTATGTTTCCCTTTTTGTTTTTTCTTTTTCTATTTCAAAAATGATTTATGACAATTTTTATGAAACTTCATATTGAAAATACATTGATTTATTAATGTCGTGGGAACCGAAAATAAATATATTCCATGGTTATGGATTAAATTCCTCCTATATATAAGGAACTTTAATTTTTGTAAATGATGTCAAATTAATATCCTATTCCTCCTATATATAAGGAACTTTAGTTTTTGTAAATGATGTCAAATTAATATCCTATTTTTGTTATGATAAGACAAATCAATTAGAAAATTTAAAGATAAGAGATAAAATCTCTTTCACAACAGGATTAGAAGAATTTAGTTTAAACTTTAAATTTAAGAAAAAAGATTTAAAAAAAACATTCTCTGTTTGTTGAAACCCTAAATTAATTAATAAAGCTGATCCATGATTTTAATTTTCCATTCTAAGTTTTTTTTTTGTTTTTTTGTTTTTTTTTTTGTTTTTTTTTTTTTTAATTTTTGAATTTCTTGGTTAAGATTGATTACACGACTAATTCAAAAGACAAAAATTAACTCTCACTAGATATCAGGAATTTAATATTTCCAATTTGTAATTTTACTTGGTTAGTTATTTAATTTCAATCAATCTCAACTACTCAAAATTATTCCTAAAACATTTGATCGTTAAATATATAAGATTGCATATCTCCATAAGTAGCTCAAAATACTGCATGAAGAGCTCAGTTTGCACAATTTATTTTCTTTTAACTGTGGCTGAGATTCCGAGACTGATTCAAGACCCCCTAGAGTAGGATCTTTATAGATTCAGCTTTCAGGTTTTTTTTCCTATTTCATTCAACCATCACCGGCTAAGAGAAGGAAAATTCTTCACTGATTTATTTCATTCAACCATCACGATCGAAGCCACCATGGTGTGTTTTCATTAATTTACTCTTTTTTTGTAATCAATTTATATTATTATTTATGGTGACTTTAGGCTATGGAAACTTTTCTGTAGTGATAGAAGATTCATGAACTGTTTTATTTGTTTTCAGATTCACTCAAAAGTTCAAAATATGGATGGTTTCGATTATTTCTATTTTTATCTGGAATTTTGGATCTTCGTTTCGATTAATATTGGTATACTGTATAGTAATATATACAGTAACATCCAGTATCCAAGACTTATAAACTGACTATTCAAACATTGTTATAATTTATTTCTTGAATTTCTTCGAAAGGTTTTCAATATATATAACGGATAGTGTAGATTACATCCATTATTTCGATACGTTTTGAGTATATCTGTTCTACAAATTATTTTCAGGAGAACAACGAGAATGCAGCAGCAGCTGCCACTGTACCTGATCCTGAGAAAGATTTAAATAGCTGGCTACCCATTACTGCTTCCAGGAAAGCTAAATGGTGGTATTCAACTTTTCACAATGTAACCGCTATGGTGGGTGCTGGAGTACTTGGCTTACCCTTTGCAATGTCGCACCTTGGATGGTATAATTTATCTAAATCTATTCATGTCATTCAACCGATTGGATCTATTGAACACGTTATTTGGGTTCTAAGTGATTCCCTCTTTATAATAACTATTCAGGATTCCTGGAGTGTTTACAATACTTGCGTCATGGTTGATAACTTTATATTCATTGTGGCAAATGGTTGAAATGCATGAAATTGTGCCTGGAAAGCGATTTGATCGATATTCAGAGTTGGGAGAGCATGTTTTTGGGCCAAAATTGGGCTACTGGATTGTGATGCCTCAACAAATGTTGGTTCAGGTGGCATCAGATATTGTGTATATGGTCACTGGAGGAAAATCACTCCTCAAAGTTTTTGAGCTAATTAATCCCTCTCTATTCGAGGGTACTAGACTAACATATTTCATCCTTATCTTCCTTGCTCTTCATCTTGTCCTCTCGCAAATTCCTAATTTCAATTCTCTCAAAGGAGTCTCCCTCCTCGCTGCTATCATGTCTGTCAGGTATGATAATTTTGTCTTTTAGTATTTATACATTCTGATGATATGAAGCTCAAATAATGAAAAGAGGTTTCTAATTCTCTTTTAGCATTTATAGACGCATTTCGATTTTAAAAAAGAAAAACACCGGGATCCTCTCCTAATATGAAATTTAAGGAAAACTCAAACGAGGAGAGGATTCTAATTCTCTTTTAGTATTTATAGATCGATAATTCAAATTAATTAATTAAAAAAAAAAACACCATGATCCTCTCCTGATATGAACTAATGAAAACTCAGATGAGGAGAGGATCCTTGTTCTCTTTTAGTACTTATAGACTGCAATTCAGATTTTAAAAAACCACCAGGATCCCTTTTTGATATGAAGCTCAGGAAAGCTAGATGAGGAGATGATCGTAATTCTTAAAGAAATTACAAAACTCAGCATTTGAGAATTTTCGTAATTCCATTTTTTGTTTTCCTCTTGCAGCTATTCAACTTTGGCTTGTGTGACATCAATAATCAGAGGAACCACTCATCATCCACCAAGATATGGAGTTCGATCTCACACAGAAGCTGGGAAATTTTTTGACGCCGTGAGTGCACTTGGAACAATAGCATTTGCGTTTGCAGGACACAGTGTAGTATTGGAAATTCAAGCCACGATTCCATCAACTCCTGAAAAACCTTCAAAGAAACCAATGTGGTGGGGTGTTCTTGCTGCTTATGCTATTGTTGCCTGGTGTTATTTTTCTGTCGCCATTTCCGGCTACTGGGCCTTCGGTCAATTTGTAGCGGATGATGTTCTCATTTCTCTGAAAAAACCTGCTTGGCTCATTGCCATTTCTAATTTCATGGTGTTCATTCATGTTGTAGGAAGTTACCAGGTAAAATCAATTTCAAATTGATTGTTTTGTCTCCCTGATGCAAACGTATGCACCTTAGAATTACAATATAAGCTTTTATGGCTTCTTTTAGGTCTTCGCCATGCCGGTTTTCGACTTACTTGAATCAAATCTGGTAAAACACTTACATTGTACTCCTGGGAGAACTCTTCGTATCTTTGCTCGTAGTACATATGTTGGTAAGAATTAGTAGTATTTTTGTATACAGCTTGTTCACTCTTTTATAATTATTTTTCCATTATTAATATTTAAGGTTATTACCAGATTATATTAATTAATTTTGTGAATTTGTGCAGCTTTTACAGCATTTGTTGCGATCTGTATTCCGTTTTTTGGAGGACTGCTAGGGTTCTTTGGGGGACTTGTATTTTCATCAACATCATATTTTGTAAGTTGTAATAAATGAATCTGGTTTCATCTTTATTATTTTCTTCCTTCAAGCCAATTAAATGATAAAAATATTGCATAAAATGGATGCAGATTCCTTGCATCATGTGGCTTATTCTTAAGAAACCCAAGAGATGGAGCTTTCATTGGATTGCATCCTGGGTAAGTTCATTTAAAAAAAAAAATGTAACAAATGCATATATTTGGTAATATAAATTGATTTTTGTCAGTTTGTCTTTATGTGTTTAATTGCAGATTTCTATCATTGTTGGTGTGACAATAGTTATTCTTGCACCAATGGGAGGAATGAGACAAATTATCCTATCATCAAAGTCCTACAAAATGTTCTCATAGAATTTAGATTTTCCTTTTAGATAGATTATTTTATTTTGCACAGAGATGATGTTAGATGGTAATGTATAAGCTAGGCATGGCTTTAATATGGAACAGCCTGCCTAAGCTTGTCCAAAATTTATGTTTTCCTAGTCTTTTATTGTGATTTTATTATTTACTTATTCTCTATGTTTTTTAAAGGATTTGTGGTATTGTTCATAGATTAAATTATTTAGTAAATTATACTTCACTTTAATGTTAACAATTTCGTTGTGTAAGAACCATACATTTCTAAAGTTTGCATTGCAATTTTGTATACTAATTGATCTCATAGTTTAAATACTAGTTAAACAATATGCACCCACCTATAAAAAAGTTTGCAAATGACAAACAACTATTTCCTATCAACATCTGTTGTGAATTTCGTTTGAAGCAGGACAGTGTGGTAATTTTGCAACTTTCCTCTCTTTTCTTCTTTCTTTTTCTTTTCTTCAATTTTTTCTACTGTGCCACCTCCAAAGACAGCAACAGAATTTTACATCCTCTTCTCTCTTCTTTTTTCTTTCTTCTTCTCTTCCTCTTCAATTTTTTTGTTCTCTTTTGCAGATCTGGCCAACTGCTTCACCTATTTCTTCTTTTTCTCTTCCCTTCCTTCTCCTCTCTTTTTCTTACTTCTTTGGCCAACCACCTCTCCCTTCTCCTCTCTTTTGTTGGAATCGTTGAACTCGTCCATCAGCACTCTATCAAGAAGCTTGTTATGGGAGTAGTAGCAAACAAACATTATGTAGAGTAACAATTACTAGGACATTTACATTATTTGTTTCTAGCCCTATGTATTAGTGTCTATCTTTAATAAAATTTGGAGTTTTGATGATATTTTTATTTATATTTTTATAAATTCAAGAAAAGGGAGGTTTCTTGTACTGGTAAAAGAATTTCTTGTGAAATGTCAACTACTTGGGTAAAGCATATTTATCATCAGTTAGGAACTATTTGATGGAGTAGATGGTGTTTGTGGTGGAGGTGAAGCTTTTGGTGGATCAGATAGTAGTGATGGAGATGAATTTGAGGGTGATGGAGGACTTGTTGGTGGATTGGCCACTGGTGGTGGTGGAGGGGAATTCGTTGGTGTAGTAAATACTGGTGGTGGTGAAGGTGAACTCCTTGGTGGATTAGATACTAGCAGTGGTGGGGACGATGAACTCATTGGTGGATTAGATGCTATTGGTGGTGATGGTGGTCGAGATGAACTGGTTAGTGGATTAGAAATAGGTGGAGATGGTGGTGGTGGTGGTGGTGGTGATGTAGGTGAAATAGATTGTTGAGTAGGAGGGGGAGAAGGTGTAGATGTCAATGGGGGTGGAGATATATTTTGAGGAGGTGGTGGTTAGACAGGTGTTTGTGCAGGAGGAGATGAAGTAGAAGGTGTGGAGAGGTCAGGTTGATTTGCATCGGGCTTAGAAGGTGAGGAGGTTGTAAGAGGTGGAGGAGATGGCTATGATGATGGTGGTGGACCGGTGGTGGAGGGTGGTGAAGTTGGCACAACAGTGGGAGATGAATTTGGAGGCGCACAGCAGTGAAGAAAAATTTGAAGAAAAGAGAGGAAAGTGGCCTTCTTTTTTGGTTGAATGCAAAATTATCACACTGTCCTTTAAATGGAATTCACTAATAGATGATGATAGGAAGTAGCTGTTTGTCATTTGTAAACCTTTTAGGTACCAACTTGTCCTTATGGCAAACTATGGGTGGGTGCATGCCGTTCGGCCTTAAATAGTAAACACTATCAACTTTTGAGAATAGGATTATTTCCTAACACTTATTTACAAAACTATTAAATTGCTAAAAAATTTAATTTAGAATTTTTACTATACAAAACTTCTAGAGTGCCAATTTAAAATCTGACTACTAAGAGTTAACTCTTTTTTCTAAGAATTAATAAAAATTCACAAAATTTTATCTCTTTATCTATAATACAAAATTCTTAGATGCATACCTAAGTAAAATCTTGCTAGCAAGAGTTAATTCTTATAAGAGAAGTAAGCAAAATTTTAACTAAAAAAAAAAACCTACAGACTTCCATATATCAACTCTAATACATAAGAAATAAATAAATGGTCGATTATTCGTATCCACTTATTGGGGGTTGAGTAAAAAATTTCAAGTGGAACATTGTTCACAATCCCTGGAGAGATATCCCACTGATATTGTTCTAACTTGTTCACTTCCAAACAATGCTTTCGCTAATTTAGATTAAAGGGTGTCATGAAATCGGCATATTTCTAACATCACGTCAATAGTTGACACATTCATTGTAATTAGAAACCCAAATTCCGTATCAAGATCACAATCAATATCATCACCAACATCAATATTGCCATAAGTTATCAAAAAGTTTCGGTTAGTATTCACACAATTACTAAATTTTCATATGTTACCGAGCAATTGTTATTTGGAGGAAACTTTTATGTTGCTAGGAACATTGCTTGGAGCATAGCGTTACTGGAATTATTTTGTTTTAATAACCCGTAACATCATTTTGACAACTGATTAAGCATAATTTTTGTCAAACAACAGATTTGGGCCTAAACAGGCTCAAAATCATCTTACTGTCAATTTTAGGGAAGTGATTTTTAGCTCCCACTTAGTTGATCAGTATCCCCATTAGACTTGGCAAAACGGGTAATTATCCGTGACTGGACCCGTACTCGCTAAAAAAAACTATAAGGTATGAGTCCAACATTTTGAACCCCTTTTTTTCAACCCATAACTGGCCCTACCCTTGTTTTTTTTCGGTTGGCCGGGTATACCTGCGGGTACCCCTAAAAAAAAAAAAAAAAAACTAAGTTACCCGAAATCCCTAAAATTCTAATCTCCATCTACATTTGGCTTCGACTGTTAGACATTGACTCTTCTGTCTTCTCCTCATTCTCTTCTCAATTTCTCAAATATCTTCGGCCCGCTCATCGATTCTTTATTCTCATTTCCATCGTTGCCGCATTTGCCTGCTTAGGTAATCCTATTATCTATTTTTTTTCTGTGTTTTCTGATCTGGGTGTGGTGAATTTTATTGATGCGATCGGTCATTTTTGTGAAAGTTTGATTTTTCTTGTGTTCTTTTATGCGGGTATTTTTTTGTTTGGTCGGTTTTGGATTGAGAATGTTGTAAGAGGAGAAATTTGAGGTTAAGAAGTGAATTGATTGATTTAATATTTAGAGGGATTAAGAGGTATAGACTATAGAAGAGCAAGTTTCTCTCGTTTGTTTGTGCTGATGAGGGTGTGATTGTAACAAATGAAAATTATAATAAACAGTAATGGATACTCGCGGATCCAACCTATTCGTGCGTAAGATAGGGTATGGTTCAATATTTTTTACCCGTTTAGAATCAGTCCTTATGGGCCCATACCCATTGGACCTAGCCCATATCCAATCCAGCCCGCCCGTTTTGCCAAGTCTATCCTCCATTACTAAATGCATCCATGTTATATTTAAATACTTCTCTTTAAACCTCATTTAGTACCTTTGAAACCTTAATTGGATTTTTTCTATACACCCCTTTCTTCAATTTCAGTTTTAGAATCAAAATGTTAGTTTTAACTAGTGCGGAAAAATTGAAGTATTTTTTCATTAAACAAACAATTTTAATAATTATGATGATTTAGATTTAGGATTTATGCAAGAAATAAATTTAAGATTATAAAAAGGAGTGTGGATGTACTTAGAATTTATAATGTCTTTTCTTGTAATTGTTTTTATGAGTAACTGACTTTTCTTTTCCCACCCAAAAAATGGTTTAATGACATTTCTCGCCCTCAAACTTTTAAAATATTACTTTATCACCCAAAACACAAAAATTTTAGTAATTTTTGTTGTGAAGAAGGGTAGGATGGCCAAAAACTAGTTAAAAGGAAGGGTAGAATGGTCATATTTCCATTTTAGTTGGATATCTTCTCAAACCCTAATTGCCAGTTTAGCCCGTTTAGGCTGCTTGACATGATTCCGACGCCGTTGATCAGCACCGACTCCACCCTCAGCTTTCCCATCCTTCACTCACAAAAACCCTCACTTTCCCACCACACCGAGCACGCCAATCATCGGCCACCTCTGGTTTTTTGTTTGTGCGACCGATGAGCTTCCAGGCCAGATTTTGGCTGATTTGGTTGCCGAAAATTCCACCTAAAGCCACCTGTAGCATCAACGACACCTCCTTTCTAAAAGCCCCATCATTCTAGACCTTGGTCGTTCATTGTTCATCAAATGCCGACACTTCAACAAAAGAACTAAACCACGATCATTGGTGATTAGAGAGTTATCACAGTCCAGATTGTTAGGGCTATTGAATAGGGATGACTAGTGATTCATTTGATGGTAGAAGGTCAGATTATGGTGGTTTAAGTCAACCAGAATCGTGTGTGAAAGTTTGATTTGCGATGACCGATGATTAGGCATTGAAATCTAGTGAGGTATTTTTGTCGTTGCTATTAAAATTATTGTATTTAAAGGAAATTATTAAAAGAGTTTGTGCTTTAGGTGGAAAAATAATATTTTAAAAGTCTAAAGGTAAAAGATGTCTTTAAGCCATTTTTTGAGTGAGAAATGTCTTAGCTCTTGTTTTTACGATTAAATTTGTTAATACAACAATTTTTACTTAACTTTATTCTAATAAAACCAACCTCGGAATACGAATTTATCATTGACATCAACTCTCCAACGTTTAGATCAATATAGATTCATAAACTAATGATGCCATTAAAAAGGGATAACTTGTGGGATAACGGTTCTAGGATATCTAAAACTTCTTCAATTTCCATTGGACTAATAATTTCTCATTAATGGACTTTTCGTTTTAGCAGGATTCTAAACCAGCCAATTCCTTTTTAGTAATAAACTTTGATTAGGAAATTCCTACCCTAACCGGAATCTCAATCTACCAAGGAATGCTCATAGAAAACTACCACCATGAATCTATCCTGGTGACAATTTGCCTTGGCCCCTTGAACAATGTGAGCGGGGCAACAGGC